TGGGATGGGGCTCCCCCGCCCCGCCCCCCACGTCAGAGCAGCACCAAGGCTCCAGCGAATCTGATTGCTTTGGGCCACTGATTTTCAAAATGGCCGACGGCCGCGTTGCCTTATCCCAGGCGCTGCTCGGTGTTGCCTGCCAGTTTCCTCCTCGGCCTGGCCCTGGCTCAGTGCTCCGGGAGGTGCCCCAGCACGTTCAGACGGTTCCAACGGGGCACTTTGGCATTTGGTTGCCCCATAAAGCACTTAGCAGGGCTTCACAGTGAACGCCGGTGGGCCCGCAGGCCTGCCCTGGGGCCCCGCAGAACCAGCCACGCCCTGAACAACGAACGTTAAGCTGGGGCAGGGCTATGAAGCAGAAAAGCCACCTGATAATTCTACATTTCAAGCTCTAGCTGCCCCAGGACCCTCCAGCCCCGGCTAACGCGTTTTCTCCCGGTGTGTGTCTACACTGGCAGCCGCCTTTGCGCGAAAACTTGCCAGCTGTCTACACTGGCCGCTAGAATTTGCGCAAGAGCACTGACGTTCTAATGTAAGCATTCAGTGCTTCTTGCGCAAATACTTTGATGCTCCCGCTCAGGGATAAGCCCTCTTGTGGAAGAATACTTGCTCAAGAGGGCCAGTGGAGACAGGCACCTTAATTTTTTGCGCAAGAAAGCCCGATGTCTAAAATGGGCATCAGAGCTTTCTTGCGCAAAAGCGCGTCTACACTGGGCACGGATGCTTTTGCGCAAAAGCACTTTTTGCCCCAAAGCATCCGTGCCAATCTAGACGCTCTTTTGTGGAAATACTTTTCACGGAAAAATTTTTCCGCAAAAAGTATTTCCGCAAAATCCTGCCAGTCTAGACGCAGCCCCTTTGTATGTGCAGCCTGTTTAAACTCACCATCTGGTTATTGAGGAGGGCTTGAGAGCTTCCCTCTGGGTTTGCTGGGGGCTGCGGCCTTTCCAAGGCCCATGGCAGCCCATTAACCCCTCCCTGCCTTTGCCTGCTGGGCAGCTAGCTCATCCTGGTGTTCCCAGGTTGTTTCTGCAAGGGCCGGCGCCTGTGAACAGCCTGGGCACCACAAGGCAAGATGAGCGCTTGTCCCTGCCGGGGTTGGTGCTCAGGGCTAGCTGGAAGGGGACGAAGGTGGAATCCGCACCAGCTCCCAGCTGCTCTGGCGCTGCAGCGTGAGGGGGTTACAAAGCGGTGCAAGCATCGAGGTGGCCCTCATGCCGTGGCAGAGCCAGCGGTGGCCACACAGAGGGTGCACAGCAGAGCGGGACTCTTGCTACCGCAGGCCCATGTGAGCGTTCCTCCAGTCCCTGGCTAACGTCACCCACCAAGACGGACGTGGCAACGCACTGGACTAGCCCTGGCAGCCAGGATGCAGCAGGCCTTCGTGGCCATAAATGAGCGGGTGTCTTCTTTCCCCGTTGCCAGTGTGATGCCAGCTGCGGCCGGGGGGTGAAGACCAGGACCGTGCTGTGTGCCAGCCTGGAGAATGGCGTGTACAGAGAGTATCCAGAGACGCGCTGCAATGGCTCCCACAAACCCGAGGTGCAGGCCACCTGTTTCAAGAGGCCTTGCTCTACGTGGTTCACCACGTCCTGGTCTCAGGTAGGGCGAGCGAGGGAGAGGGTGGGGAGCGCAGGGCCTGGCAAATGCCCAGGAGAAGGGACGACAGGCCCACACCCCACAGTGCTGCAGCGACTGCCCGGGCGGCTGAAAGTCGGGGGGAATTGCTGCGCTCTCGTCGTGCCTCGGTCTGTCTGGACCCACCAACCCGATTCCTTCCAGCTGTTGGGGCAGGCTGGACCTACTCACATCCCTGAGGCGCTGAGTACAGACCTAGCAGGTGTAGGGACGCCAGTTACCCGTGTGCTGGGTACTGGCAAGCAGCTCGGTGACCGTCTCCCTTGGGTGTCATTCCCCAGAGAGCAGGATGCGCACCCCGGCCCTCCAGGAGCCAACTTTCTTCCTGCCTTACAATTGAATGGAATCGGTGCGGGTTTATGCGAGTGAACGGGGCCAGGCTGATAGCCCCGGGGACGAGAAACCTGTTTGGCCTCACAAGGGGCAGCAACGGAGCAAGCGCCCTCCGTAACCCACCCATGTGCCCCAGCCTGGCCTTTCAAGGCCTCTCCTCCGGAGAGGAGACAAGGAGCTAAGTTTCTCAGATCATTCTATATCTGGCATTTCTGCTGTGTTCTCTCCCCACTCCCCCCGATTCAGGGCCAGCCCGAGCCATTGTGGCGCCCCGGGACCGGGTGCACGGTGCCACCCCCGGGCACACGGCGCATGCACGGGCCCGCCCCCCTGGGGGGCACAGGCCCACCCCCCTGGGTGCACAGCGCATGCGCTGCCCAGCCCAGCCCAGCCACCGCTGCTAGCATGCAGCCTGGGGCGGGCCGTGCCTGGCCATACAGGGCCCCACGGCTGTGGGGGGAAGGGCGCTGCTGGCCGGTGCCACAGGGATGGGGGGGCGGGAGCCAGGCACGCGGTGCCTGATGGCAGCTCTAAGGGGCACCACACGGGGCCCCTTACAGATGCCATCAGGCGCCCCGCATCGGTCGGCGCCCCGGGCAGCTGTCCGGCTCGTCCACCCCTTAGTCCAGCCCTGCCCGGACTAATTAGCAAGCAGGTAGCTGTGGCAGGATGTATTTTGCAATGCATGGGCCTCTCCTAAGCAGTGGGCGGTAGATTGAAACCTTCACACTTATTACCCATCGGCCACTAAAAGGGCTGTTTGCCGGAAGCCACTTTCTGTCCCTATCTGCGCTGGCCAAGGATTTGAACAGGTTCCCTGCAGTGCTGAGAAAGGGTCTGTTCCTCCATCCCCAGTCCCTTCTGCAGCCTCCTTCCTCACCAACTAGCCCTGCCAGCCTCCTTTGCAGCCCATTAGCGCTGGGGGTCTGAAGGTCTCAGACGGTTTGCCCCAGGGCATGCGGAGGGTCTGCAAGAGCTGTGCCAACCTGCATACAAGGGAGCACGCTGGGGACGCTAGTGCACGAGGCCAATCCTTGGATGTAGCTCGTAGCGCTCTCAGCACAGCTGCGGGATGGATGAGAGCCAGCTGGAGAAGGGAGCGCTGGCAGCTTGCGATCAGTCAGTAACGGGCATAAGGAAATGCAGAAAGAACAGTAGGTTCCCCCACTAGGGGAGAAGCTGGCTGGGGCCTTGCTGTGGGGACTGCTTTGGTGAACATGCATGCCTTGTGGGCCAAGAGGAGTGATTATGGACCCAAAC